GCTTGAAGAATAGATGAAGTCAGCTCACTAGTAGCTCCGATGTTATCAACCACCCAATCTCTCCCTAAATCAGTAACCTCATCATCAGGTCGCACCACTGCCAGGGGTTCCTCCACTAAAATGTTAAGAGTCATTCTCCAGCCAAGGTGTAATGAGCAGACCTGTTGGATAGACCCCAAGTCATCAATCATCTTCTCTTCAATCTTTCTGTCATGCTCATAAACAGAATCTGAATCTATAACAAAGTCCCCCAATCCAACAAAACTACCAACCTCATTCTCCTCATCCGTTGCAAAAAACATGCATTTAAGACCTTTCAACGCAACATTTAATCGAAGCTCTTTGAACAGAGCCACAGCCTCGACATTGGACAGCTGAAACTGCAAATCTCTTCCCACACAGACCGTAACTTCTTCAGACAAATCCTTGACTACACTACCATTGATATCCAACTGCCCAGGAGAAGCAAACTTGCAAACTTCCTTTCCATTCAACCCAACATTATGTTCAGAATTCAGAACTAGCAACCTACCCTCTTGTCCGTAACATCTACATCACCCCGCAACACCTCACAAGAAGGGGTAGAAGAAGAGGGTGGAACAATAATGGGGCTCCGAAGATCTGAAGACATACCTGATTCGTTAGAAGGAACCCACTTCTGCTTTTCTTTTCTTGACCATCGAACTCCATGATTACTATGAGCGTTCCGAGACGGAAATCTAGTGCTTCCCTTCGGCTGTGAATTATCAGAAAAGAATGTAGAAGAAATGTTGGCACAACACTGAGAATGACGAAACCCCTTCTCGATAGGTCTTTCACCAGCCGCGGTAGCAGAGAGATTCATCCAACTTCTCTTCTCTGGTGTGATGACCTTGTGGGCGGCTGTGCCATGGGCGGGTGCGAGAGACACTGTCAGGCTACCCCACTGGCGAGCTACCGGTGCACAGTCCCACATCGCTTGGGTAGAAGAAAGGTGAAGTACTTATATGTAAGTGTGTCACCTCCAATTGGTATGAGGCCTTTTGGGGTGAAGCCCAAGAGCAAAACCGTGCGGGCTTAGGCCCAAAGCTGACAGTATCATACCATGTGGTGGAGTGGGTCATTACAAATGGTATCAGAGCCTGACACAGCCGGAAGTGTGCCGATGGGGACGTCGGGCCTCCAAGGGGTTGGATTTTGATGACTTTGTGGGCGGGTGTGCCGTGGGTGGGTGCAAGAGACACTGTCAGGTTACCACACTGGCGAGCTACGGGTGCACAGTCCCACATCGCCTGGGTAGAGGAAAGGTGAAGTACTTATATGTAAGTGTGTCACCTCCAATTGGTATAAGGCCTTTTGGGGTGAAGCCCAAGAGCAAAACCGTGCTGGCTCAGGCCCAAAGCGGACAGTATCATACCATGTGGTGGAGTGGGTCGTTACATCCGGCGAGTTCCAGATAGTTCCAGAGAGGCCGTTTAAGCGTGGACTTTGCGAGATGCTTATATCATGAGAAAAAGGTGGGCTGGGCTTTTAATTAAGAAAAGAAATGGGTCCCCGCGTAACCTTTGTCTTTGGATTGCTCGGATGTGGCCCATTGCGCAAACTCTCAGCTTCACGGTTGGGCTTTGCCAAATTATGTGAGCTGGACTTCTCATTCAGGGAAGAGATTGATAATTGGTTGCTGGGCCTCTAATTAATAGCCCTTTTAATCTTCTGAGGGCCGTGATGAGTTAGCCCATTAGCCAAAGAAAGCCCAAAACGTGCTTCGGGCCCATACGTAGGCCCAACATTGGGTATTGCATGAGTGGCTCCATTAATGCCACGATCTCGGCCATGTGGTTGGTGATCTTTGAAGCAGTCAATATGAGAAGGTGGGTGCCGATCAAGGGCGTGATTGACACGGCTCCTAAATCTACTCTTTCTACTTGCTTCAGGCACGTGGGCATGCGGTCGGCCCTTTCCTTTGGGGCCCTGATGGAGCTGTAAATTCCGGCGACCCCCTTTGATGATCATTGCAACATGCGGGATGTGGGGGCTCTCCCTTACGCCATAGTAAGACTTCGGGAGGATACGAGGTGTGACTTCCTCTATCAAATTGACCTTAAAGGCCACTCTTTGATCCTCAACAAAAACATACTCCGGCATCATTTTTCCGGCGGAGAAGTAGAGAAGGATTCTCTCTTCGGTAGCCGAAACGTCCGCCTCAACACCTCTAAATCCAACACATAAATTTCCGATTGCTTCAAATAACTTATGGCACCAAAGATGAAGAGGTAAGCCAAACAACATCACCCTTCGTATGTTTCGATCTTTCACAGCAGAACATCCAACTGCGAAGTACCAGATGTTGATGGATAACAATGCTTCGCCCCATCTCTTTTTTCCTTCATCCAAAACCCTTAAAGCCTCAACCTCCGACGGAGACCTGAACAGAAAAAGATCGTCGGGAAGGGAAGAAACTTTCACCCTGCTCGAAACCTTCCAAACTTTCGTCGCCCACGCCTCAATCCCTTTAATGCACCCCACATCTCTATCAAAACGACCTACCAGACATGATCGCAAAGCAGATTCACGTTCCTTAATGCTTTGATGATCAACCCTGAAAACCAAATCATCTTGTATGGAACAGCTTTTGATTTCTCCATGGAAGTTGAGACAAGGTAAGGTCGCGACACTGAGATAGGATCGATTCATAACAGAATTCCCTGCCGAATGGCCAAGGATCCAACAACAAAGAGCGTAAACATGAAAGGTAGACGCTGAAGTGAAAGACTCCGACATCAAAAAAAGTAGAGAGAGAATAGAGAAAAGTTAAACATGGTCGCAACTTCTTATTTTTTTTATTATCATATCATTTTTCATTTACGGGAAAAAAAAGTGTCTTTGTGTTCGGTATAAGGGTAATACTGGCATTTTACTAATTTTAAGTAGATGACATCACCGATGTCTGTTATTGACTAACGACAACTGTTAAAAAGGGAGGTCCATGTTACAAGGTTGCTTTTGAAGGGAGGTTAGTGTAATTTTGAAAACCATAGGGGAGGCCAGTGTAATTATGAAAAACCTCACGGAGGCCAGTGTAATTTATCCTAAACAAATGGTTACTCTAGTAAGGAGAAGCTATTTGATTCCACTTAAGTTCTGCCTCAAGACGACCATTAAGAAATCGATCTTGGTGAAGGAAAATATTAATAGCTATAATATTTCGGATTTGATTCCTCTCCAACGGGATCTCTCTCCCGAATTCCCTAAACCCGGACTTGAGGGTTATAAAAGTGTCATGTCACTTAGCATCACTACCTCTATTTTTGACCAAATGGCAACCAAACTTTAATGGAAATTTCCCTGCTCTATGCTTTGATCTTTCCGAAATTCCCCTTGCTTTGTTTTTCGATCTCTCTCAATCTTCTCTGCTTCACTAGGTTGTCATCCACCGGAAGACCCTACCTCTTCTCTTTCGTTGCCATCAATACCAATACCGCGAGTAGAGCTCCAAAGGTTGATTGAGTTTTTCTCGAGGGTTCTGGATGCTTTGAAGATTTGAGGGATGCTGTTAAACAATACTTTGTTGAGACAGACAAGAAGAATTTGTGTTGCGAATCGGCATAAATTTACAACATCTTTACAAGTTTTGATGCATCAGCTTGCATATTTTCATCTCTACCAGATATGTAGATTGGATAAAATGGATGGACATAAATGGGCAGGAAGTCATGCATTTTTTAATTCACAAGTAGAAGAAGAAAAGCACCACCAACTTGTTGGGCACAGTGAAATTCTCCTACGAATCCTCGAACAAGTTGATTTGGATGGTGGTGAATTTCTAGGTTACCAACTGGTGACGGATCTCACGCTCCAAGGGCCATAGCAGCCAATTCAGATTGCCAATGCCTTTTCTTCTCTCTCCATCTCGTCGGCTATTTCGTCGGTCGGCCAATCGAAGCAGAGAGATCAAAGCAGACTGCTGAGTACAGATGGGTCTTCCATTAACGTTTCTGAAGATAATTTGGTTGCTGTTTAGTCCCATGTTAAATTGGATTACTTAGATGATGTGGCACTATTAAAACCTTTAGATTGAGTTTTAGGGAATTCAGCATAGAGATCCCGCTGGAGAGGATCCTAGTCCTAGTGTTTCAGCGGGCATTGTCCCTGATAGAGCAAATGGAGAAAAGGTTACCCCATGATATTTTATAATTTTTTTTTGTAAAAAATTCAATTTTCTTTTATGGTCTGAAGAAAATGATTCCTAGTACTTGGGAGTTAAGTGTTGAGTATTGAGTTGTATCAACACCTCCCAAGAACCTGCAAACTATATTCAATATGAAGCCCAAGTAATTCTTATATTGTGGAGTTCTTAGAAATGTTTAATTACCAAGGGGTTAAGAAAATTACAATGATCTTGGAATTCAGATGGGAAAGTACATAATGCTATATAATACTAGAAGTCTGCGATTCAAAATGGTTTCCTGTTATGAAGAATATGTTCAGTCTACAAGCATGAAAATGGAGAAAATTAATCCAGAAGCTCTTAAGACTCTGATTTCAATTTAAAATTTAGTGGTGCTATTTTCAACGAGGTTCTACTTTCCATTTTCTCTAGTAGTTTTCTAATTGGTAGTCTTCAGTACCATGTTTTCTGGGATGCTTTACTAATTTCCTCTTAGATTGTTGTATCCTTTAACGTAAACCAAATGCAGTAGCTATAAAGCCTTTAATCTGTGCAAATGCTTAGCAGCCTGGGCGTACTTATCTTGGATCCTGGGCTCCACAATTTGCAAGTTATATAGCTGATGTGGAGAGATTTCTTGTTTGTGTGAGCTAATAGGGGGATCTTTTTATTGTTATAGTGAGCTCGGATGTTGTAGATCAGTTCCTTATGTGAAAACCTCTGGCTTTAAAAAAAATTCAGACTAGATCCCGAGAAAAGAAAAATATTAAGATTTAATATTCTATTATAATTTTTTTGCTCATATTATGAAATCCTTACTGCAAAATATTCTCTTACTGTTTCTTCTGTCTAGATTGATAGAATTGATCTAACTCACCTGAAGGTCTACGCCATTGATGTTGATGAGGCTGATGAGGTAAAAATATGTTTTCTTACTGCTTATTTAGTCATTTGGCAAATCATGTTTGACATAACTTTTTGATCTTATATTTTTTAATTTTTTGCTTGGGAAGCCATTACTTTCAAGTTTCTAAATGACCAAAAATATGCAGCTTGATGATGCGCTGAGTGCAACAAGATTGCAGGATGGCCGGATTAAAGTTTGGATACATGTTGCAGATCCAACTAACTTAGTTCAACCTGGGAGCATGATAGACAGGTAGTTTTGAGATTCCTAACATACACATTACACTGTTACTTGTTATTTCCTTGGTTGGTTTTTTAATATAGTTCTTGCTTTCTAGGGAGGCAATGAGAAGAGGAACTTCTGTTTTCTTGCCCACTGCCACTTATCCAATGTTTCCTGAGAAACTTGCCATGGAGGGGATGAGCTTGAAGCAAGGAAAGCTTTGCAATGCTGTTACAGTATCTGTTGTATTGCATTCTGATGGCAGGTAATCTTTTAACTTGTTGGAAACAAATGCTGAGATCTGGTGTATTGCGTATAGGTGCAATTGAAGTTGGTAAACTGAACTTTAGAAATGTGAGGCAACATTTTGGATAAGTGGGCTATAAGTTCCCACTTAGAAATATTTTTTTATGGTAATATGGAAATCAAATGAGCCCATTTTTTTTTCCGTGAATTCTCTGGACTATTTGCCATATGTGTGCACTCATAAATAAGGAATGGACCTGTTAAAAAACCTATTTTTTAAACATTATTCAAACAAATCAGCTATCCTCGAGCTCAATTTTGGTTCATTGTGAATGACAACCTGAACATTTTACCATTACACCAAGTAATGGTCCTGTCACGTGCAGACCATATAAACAAATCACTTGGCAAGATCATCCGATCATATATTTGTTTTCTGATTTAGAATGATCTTCGTAAATTATTGCATGGGTTGATCATCATTATGAGTGAAGTTGCTTTTAATTTGTTGATCAGCTGTAAATTTTTATGTGAATACTCTTTTTTGTGACAGAAGTTATGAAACTATTTTTTTCCCTTATGAAGTCAATCTTACAGCCTATTTGGTTTTATAGCATTGCAGAATACACAGTAAATAACTCCATCATCAAACCAACTTATATGTTGACATATGAGAGTGCGTCAGAGCTGCTTCATTTGAACCTGGAAGAGGAGGTTGAATTGAAAGTTCTTTCTGAGGCTGCAGCACTTCGGTTGCAATGGCGTCGCCAACAGGTTGGCTTTAACTCTATGGAATAAAGTTGAATTTCATATTCTTAAAGTTGTTTAGCTTTAAAGTTTGGGCGATTTTGGTTTTAGTATTAATGATCATGTGGCATCATGCATGACTCGGTGGGATTATGGAGGTAAAGACTTCCATACTTGGATCTCTATTGCACCACAATTTTTACAAGAAGGATTTTAGTATTTATAAATAAGAAAGTGGCTAAATGTGACAAGAATGATGAAATTTAGTGAGGTCTTTCTGACTTATTGTAGGAATCTTCACCTGATATTGTCTTGTTGGGTCCCGAATCCCAAAGACCCGGTGCATGAGTGAAAGATGATATGAAACCGGACTTGACACCCGATCTTTAGAAAAATTTGTTTTGAAAGAAATTGAGTTTTAATAAGAAGGTTTTTTAATGGAAGTGTTTTAGCTTTTGAAAATCATATGAAGCAAGGTCCTTTTGAACCAATGATTCAATAACTAATCTACGTTATAACCTTGATCATGTATCCGGAGACTTGATTATGCAATGAAATTTGTTAAACGTCCCGAAACATCCACAAAATGGTTATAATTTTGGGCAAATTGCATAAAACGCCCCTCCACTTACAATTTTTGGCACAAAACCTCCTTACAAATTTTGTTTGACCTAAAACCTTCGTGAACTATCCAATTGTTCCAAAGTGATGTTATAATGAAGAAACTGCCCCTTATATAAATTTAAGAAAATGGTGCCCCTTAATATAAGATTAAAATCAAATACAATTAACGCATTTGGCATAGTGTTGTTAAAAATTATTTTTTTAAAAAAATGTTGCGTCTATAAGAAAATGAAAAAGAGTGACGAAAGGTTGACTTAGCCTGAAAATTGGCTTCTCATTTTCAATGGACAAACTTCTTTGCTTCTTTTAAGTTTAAATTAATCTTCTTAAATGTTAATTTTCTTGATAGGTTTCTTGTAGCACAAAATTAAACCCTTAGCTCTTATTATTAATGCGGCATTAACCATTTATGTATTATCTAGGGAGCAGTTGACACAAACACATTAGAAACACGAATCAAGGTTTCTAATCCTGAAGATCCAGAGCCGTTGATCAAGCTATATATCGAAAACCAGGCTGACCCTGCAATGCGACTTGTATCTGAGATGATGATACTCTGTGGGGAAGCTACAGCAATTTACGGTTCTTCTAACAACATTCCTTTACCATACAGAGGACAGCCTCAATCAAATATTGACACGTCTGCATTTGCGCATCTTCCTGAAGGACCTGTCAGAAGCTCTGCCATTGTTAAAATAATGCGTGCTGCTGAGATGGATTTCAGAAAGCCTATTCGCCATGGAGTTTTAGGACTTCCTGGTTATGTTCAGTTTACATCTCCCATCCGTAGATATGTGGATCTTCTTGCTCATTATCAGGTGAGTTTTGGGTGTACCATAGACAAAAATGTTATCTGGATGTTCTTCTAGACGCCAAACTATAATTTAGTTTAAGTTGTTCATGATTTCTGAAAGTTAAAACCCCGAGCAGCACATTGATTGCTTAACATGTGTGGAACTTGCAACCGGACAGGAAAACATATTTGGTTAATGCATAATTGGGAAAAAATTGGGTTTGCAGGAGTTCTCTTCGACAAAAGAGGAAAGTGGAAAAAAAAAAAAATGCTTAGGCCACGTTCTCTAAAAATGGTTTTGAAGAACTCTAAACTTGTTTCTGAAATCTGTTTTTAATTCAGTCGTCCGCAAACGGTAAAGCGAGAAAATTTTTGAACTGTTTTCTGTTTTTTAGTTCTTTAAGAACAAGAAAACTGTTCTCAAACAAGTGAACCAATCAGGCCCTAAGGTTTCATTTTGTACAGGAATCACCCACAGGCCACAGGGGCCTTTCCTGTTTAGTGCGAGTTGCAGGATTGGCAGAATATACAATCATTTATTCTAATTTTCCACTTTTCTCCTTTCTTTGTTTTTAATACTGTAATCCAGGAGATTTTTTGTTTTCATATTGTTTGTCATTTAACCTCTAATTCGTCCTATTGGTTCAATATCATTTTGTTATGAGCTCATAGTCCTGTATCACTGATTATGTTATAGGGAATATGAGTTTCAATTTGCTAGTTAGAGGAAAAGGAAGAAAGGTTTGACATGGTATTGTTTTGCATACCACTTATATGTAGGTGAAAGCATTTCTTAGAGGCGATTCTCCTCCTTTCTCAGCTGGCCAGCTGGAAGGAATAGCATCGGTGGCAATCATGCATTCTAAAGTAGTAAAGAGGCTCAGCAACAGTAGTCTTCGGTATTGGATATTGGAATACCTGAGAAGACAACCGAAAGAGAAAAAATTTCGTGCCTTGATCCTTAGATTCATCAAAGATAGGATTGCAGCCTTACTGTTGATGGAGGTAAGCTTATGATATTTTGCACTGATAAATTTAATTTATTTTGGCAGTGTAGCTGTTCATTTTATTAGAATTCTTTCCGAGATCACATATATTGTGGATGAGATAAGTCATATACAATCAATATCAGCTATTTGAACTTGAGGGTAGTATCAGGCCATAACAGCCTGTCCTAAGACTTCTTAGAGGTGGCAGTTTGGTTCAACCAGTTGAAAGTGAGAGCTTTGGTGATGACTTCTCCTTTAGTCTGCAGCCTTGGAATTTATTTTGCCCCTCAATGCATCTGACGTGCTCACATTGAGTCATTCAATTAAGGCGGACTTGGGCAAACAATCCTTGTTGTTTCCTTTGCTAGTGAAGATGCTTATTAAAAAACAGATAAACCGGACTTAAGTTAGCTCGTCGCACCAGCTACTTATGCTGAAGTCCCCTTACGTGTAACCTCTCGTATGCCACTATTTGGAGAAACTAATGAGCCAGGAAATGTGCTAAGTCCCTCCCATGATGAACGGAATCGTGTTTCTTGTTCTTTTATCTTACTGTCATTGCATATATACCTTCCTAAGCGGAGTTGCCCCACCAATTTAATCCCACCATTGTTCCATCCTACTTTTATCAAGTTGTGATTCTGATTACCAGCTTCGCAGGACAGAGCATATATTTGTTCCTTAAAAAGATTCTATTCCTCCATTTGAATGCTGAAGTGGTGAATAAATATCTTATCGCACTATGTCTAGACAAATTTCAAATTGTAGTTCTTCCTCCCTATTTGAATTTCAGATTTCTACTCATTTGTGGCTGTTGGTGTTTATTTTTTGAACTAGGAGAAAATCAGACTGTAACATATTAAGTGCATCTGTATCTATGATTCTTTATTTTCTTTTACCTTCCCTGAATGAGTGGAATGATTCTTTATTTTAATTTAGTAGGCTTCCCACGACCGCTTTATTGCATTGTAATAGGCTTTCAGTTCTCTTGAATACACATGTTGTATGCATTATTTCTTTGTCATCTACTGTGCTTGATCATTATATTGTAAAAATTAAGCATGTTGAACTCCTTTCTTAAAATCTTCTTGGGTGGGAATGTTCCACATATTTAACAATCAAGGTTTTGAATTACTTTTATTCATCTATCTATTTATTTATATTTATAAATTTATTTTGGCCCTTGTTGGCTTTACTTTACTATATATTGAATTGATAGACCTTTCTACGTAGTTGAAGTTATTTTTAATCTTGAGCGTGATGCTTGGAGATGATGGTGTTATAGGCTCAAGGGTTTCCATTCCTTCAGACTATATAATACACATTGGGCATTTTCAATAAATTAAAGCTGCATTATACTTTTAAATGGGCGGTGTCAAATGTCTAATTAAAGAACTACCTCGATAAAAACACAAAAGTCATATATATTCACCTGAGCCAAGATTCAAAAGTTGCACACCTCACGAATCCTGGAACTTTGTAGTTGGGATTTTATGCATAATTACCGTTGAAGTTTTCCCCATTCACTGGTCGAGTGGTGTTTGCTTGTCTTGCTATTGAGTATACGTTTCCATTTGCAGGTAGGACTTCAAACTTCTTCATGGGTTTCTTTAGGGAAGCAGATCGGCGATGAAGTGGAAGTTCAAGTGGAAGAAGCTCATCCTCGTGATGATGTGCTTTCTCTTAAAGAGGTCGTCAAAGTATTATAGTGAAAAAAATTCACGGTATCATCACAGAGATAATTTCCCTTGATGCTACAAAGATCTGTCACGCAGTCGCTGGGAAGTGATTTCTTTGAGAGACAACTGGACCAAATCAATTTTCCCTTGGTAACTTCTCACTACCGGTTGCTGCATCTTTTCACTTATGACAGACAGAAGCGCACAATGTGAACTAACTGATTCAGGTACCAATGAGGTACTAATGAGAGGAAACAATACTTCTAAACATGAGCTTTTCCAGAAAATGACTAGAGTTGCTAGCATGCCTCTCCTTTCAATTAGCCTTTTCTTGTGAGCATGCTTGGGAAACTGGAAGTGTGATCGAGAAGAGATTTGTCTCCTTTCATGTGGTATCAAGGACTTCCAAATTGCCAAGATTTTGGTTATACTAATAGGATAACATGTGGAATCTCGAGCTAATATTTTTCATCTTTCATTCTTTATCTTTTGGGAATATTCAGAGGCATTTTTTTTTTATATATTTATTTATCTCAGGTGATATAGAATTTGTTGTATTTTCATGTTTATTACCTATTTGTAATTCTATGATGCTAATGAAATAAACATAACAAAAGTTGTATTGTATAAACGTTCCTGTAAATAGTTGCGAGTCCAATGATCTAGACTTCCGGCGATTGCAGTGTCAGGAATTTTGCCATAACATCATCTGCACACAATGCGTAATATATGAGAATGGAGAAACAAGAAAGGTCGAAAAACTCGAATGCTCCATTCTGAATTTTAGAAGAAAATCTTGGCATATGTTTTCGTTGATTGGTTTGGGAAGGGAAATATGACAGCCATGGTTTTGGGCTTTCAGTTGGCACATGATTTGAGGAACGGAAATCATAACATTTCATAATCTAATATCTTCCCCCATTTCCTCAGTAACGGACAAATCATAATCTAATATCTTCCCCCGTTTCCTCATTAAAGGACAAATCATACTTCCGCAGGCAAGAGCAATACGCGGAATCAGTGTTGGTTCATAATTCAATTTTCATTTATATATGCATAAAAAATGAGGACCTATTCCAGTTGGTATGCGCACCATTTTAGTTGGTTAAGAGCAAATTTTATGCACCTATTTCAGTTAGTGTGCCCGGTTAATGAATATGCACCATTTTAGTTGGTTAAGAGCAAATTTTATGCGTAGGTGAAATCAATTTGATTGAATTGTGCAAATTGATTGATTTGGCAATACCAATGACAGGTCTCGGTCAATAATCTTAGACAAAAAAATTGAATAAATCGTATATACGTTTGCTTGGATATCAAATTCTGATGAGTTCAGGACCAATAATCCTGGAATCACGTAATAATTTCTCCCTAACATCTACCCAAGTCGATTGTGCAGTCGTCCTTGCTTATATTAGGGTTTTATTATTTATTTATTTATTATATAGTTATTATTACTTAATAGAATGAGAGTGGGCTGACCTGTTTTTGTTTTCTGGGTCTGTGGCAGTAATTGGGCCAAGCTTGGCCACGCGGACGGATAATGGGTCCGACCCAGTTTTGTAGTGTTTTTATATGTGGTGTGGTAATAGAGTTTTTTGTATTTTCATTTTCCCACTTCCTCCAGTTGTAGATAGATTGGTACTGAGTTCATCTCACCCCAACTGCCGTATTTATCTTCAGACATTGTCATCATCATCGAATATGAAGAAGAAGGAGAAGAACATGGACAAGTCTTCTCCAGCTCAGGCTCAGGCTCAGGCTCAGGCTCAGGCTCAGGCTCAGGCCGATTTGAATATCACCGAGCCAAGCAAGAAAAAGCAGAGCCCAAGGAGCTCGTTGCAGGACCTCAACGGCATTACCAGAACAAACTCTTCCACTTCTATTGAAGTCCCCAGAGGTTGTCTACGCTTCTTCCTCTCAAATTCTTCTTCTTCTTCAAAAACCCCTCTTCAGTGGCCTAAATCTCTCACCAAATCCCCCAAATCAGCCCCATATGTCGGCTCTACCAACCCATCCTCCTCCAGATCTAAACCCTCGAAAGAAAATCTACCCAAACCCACATCACAAAGATTAAAAAAAAACCCTCCTTGTCTTTACCACTGGCAATATGGGAAGAAATCCACTTCTACAACTTCCCACAAGCCAAACCCCTCATCAGCCAATCCTCCAATTAATTCGGCATCTGGGTTTTCCCTAGGGTTCACTCCGAATCAGCAGCAAAATGTGGTGATAGATGATGCAAGTGAGCCCACGGAGCTTTTCAAGCTTCCTGATTATTTGAAAACTGCCGTTGTGGAAAACTGTACTCCAGTTGGTAAATTAGCATGTGGGTCTGCTTTAAATTCTGCATTTGATAAGGTTGTGGAAGAGGACTCTACCACAACTAATGCTACTAAAACTACTACACCTCCTGTTCAAGCTTCAGTGTCTCCAGAGATTCAATGCCAACTGTCATCTATGCTGGTTTCAGAATCAGCAACAACAACTACACCTGCTTGCTATGGTGCTGGACATCATCTTTCTGGGGTCACTGACAAGAGGAAATGCAGGCCTAGAGGAATTCTCACTGTAGGAGACAATCACTTAAGGTGCGGTACATCTGATGATTTTGATACTGAAAATGTTAATGATTTTGATGCTGAAAATGCTGTTGAAAACAAATCTAGATTGTCTTTGGTTCCTCTACCTGCTGAAGCTTTAATGCATTGGCTTGAATCTCCCTGTGATGAGGAAGACAAACACCAGAAGAGTGATACCTCAAAAGGGTCATGTCAAATTCGAAAATTATTGGGCTCTGCATCTACCACACAACATTTGTCTTCTTCACCTTCTGCTGCGAATGTGTTTCCTTCATATGTATGTGACAATGCTAACTGTAGTGGTATTATTACTAAAAAGAATGCTAGTAAATATAGTAGGAGGAGAAGTAGGATTACTTTGTTTTCTCCAAGTGGACTCCCTGAATTTCAAGGATTTTTGGGGCCTTCGTCTCTTCAGTTGTATAGTTGTTTATCATCACCTTCTACCCCTGTCACACCCAGTTGTGAGGCTGTTATCTCACAAGACGATAGAAAATGCCGGTATGATTCTGCAGGAGCAAGTTCCCTATTGTCCACTGAGCTTTTGAGTAGTGGGAATGTTATCCAAACCCCACAATCAGATTCGAGCTCAGATAAGCATGTTGGCCTCTCTTGGTTAAATGCAGATGATGATGAAAAACAATATTTTGATTCTGAAGTTGATGTAGCGGAGGAATGTCTTGGGAGGGTAAGTTTATCTCCCAAGAGCCAGACATTGTTGTGGGATTTACCTGGTCCGATTTTCCCGTTCACTGGCTTAACTTCACCTTCCAGTTCCATTGACTTCTCTCATTTTCAGGAGACTTGGGATAATTCTGCTTCTTGCATTCCTGATTCTACTTTAGATAATGTGTCCCAATCTCATATAAGAATATCATGGAGGGACGGACTAATGAGTCGGCTTTATGAGATGGATGCGTTGGATTTCTGCAAATGTCTGTCCGATGATGAGAATGATGCCAATCAATGCAGAAACAACCAGTTGAAATCCCATCCGAGTCATGAGCTCAATTTTGATCTAGGAAGTGGTCAGGTTTTCAACAATGGTTTCAGATCCCCTGAAGTTGTCGGCCATGATGAGAACGATGCTAATCAATGCAGAAACAACCAGTTGAAATCCCATCCGAGTCATGAGCTCAATTTTGATCTAGAAAGTGGTCAGATTTTCAACAATGGTTTTGGGTCCCCTGTATTTATCGGCCATGATCGGAGAATTGATGGTTCAGGAAAAGAAAATAATTCTCTTCAGATACCCAATTCATGTGCAGAGAGTATCTGCACTGATGGAGTTGGCCTTGTTGCATCAGGGGATTCAGATTGGACTCTTTGCTACAAAAATCTGCTATTTGAAGTATAAACATTGTCTCCTCATTTGTTCATCATTTGTTTGTCTTTCTCCGGTCAGTATATATTTTTTTCTTTTCTCCTTGTGAAACTGAGAATCGTCCGTTGAGGCCATTTGTGTATTTTATTTTCCTTTTTTAGTCTTATGCCCAGCATTTAAAATCAATTCTCTGTATTTTTTTTTTCTTGTGGAATGCACATGCAATTCTTAAAATGTTAAACTCGAAGCAATTGAGACGGTTTATTGAAAGACTGGCAAAAAATGAAAAACAATTTAGTTTTTTACAGGTTTTCAAGGAAAAGAATATTTTGGTTAGCATATTTACAACCATTTTTCTGTTAAATAGGTTCACTGTCAAAACATTATTCCCTAGTTGTTGTTTCTTTGTTTTCTTATTTCTCCTTTTTAGGTCAATAGGACTTAAGTTGGCAAATTTTGTAGATCAAAACTTGAGTTTGTACTTTCGTTTTAAGTTCTTGCTTAGTTTAGAACTTGTTCAAAAGTTTGTCAGTGTTACTTACCTCCCCAGGTCGAAGATGGAAAAAGTACAAACTAACCCTAGATGTGCAATGCATGAACCCTAATTGGTGAGTATACCAGTTTGTCAATTTACCTTTTTACCCTTGCATACAAGATTACCAAAATACCCTAAACTGCAGCTTCAGTCAGTGGAGGTCCCCCTGGAAATGGTACATCTCCTACTTAGATGCTGAATATCATTGGCTAAAATTCTTTGTGAATTACAATTTTCTATTTGGGTATGTATGGATGCCACTTAATGGGAATGGCTTGAATAGTTACTGGAAAGTTTTGTAGCTCTCTCTCTCTCTCTCTCTCGCGGGGGGTGTTATTGTTAAGAACTTCAGATATTGGTTAATTTTTTTACGAATTAATCTTTTGGGGCATGAACCTCCAACTTTTGAGACACAATTTCAATTCCATTAATTACTTTAGCTTTATGGCCCATATTTTTAGTGGTTTTTTTGGAGGCACATATATTTTGGAATTCGGGCCAGATCTTCTGTGAGCCTTGCAATATATGATATAGCTTTTTGCATCAGTGTGAAACTTTAAATTTACAGTGCTTTACTCAAAGAGCACTTTTGAATCTGTCCAAAATGGTTTTGGTAACTTGAGGAATTCTAAAAGAACGGAATTTGTATGTGATATTTGTCCTCATTGCAGTGCATTTGTGCCTCTTTCTCAGGGAACTAGTTGACTGTGGCACCAATCAGATTGTAAACTAGTATCATGATTAACAAGTAAATTTCCTATGGAATTTCAATGACTATATCATGATCAACAACGATCATAAATCCATTTTTTTAGGCTGATCATAACTAGTATCATGATAAACAAGTAAACTCCTATCTGATTGTATAATTTAGGCTATAGCATGCTTTGAAGAAATGGATTTATGATCATATTTCTGAAATTCTGACAGTGGCAATCCGCTTAAGTTAGGTTTTCCATAACGAGTGATTAATTTTCTGAGAAATTGATGGAGAATGTATTTATCATGAATGCAATGATGTACCCCCATCTTTGATCTTGCATGATTTTGATTCACCCAGTTTCACATAATTACTTGCTTGTTCCCTGAACTTAAAATATAGTTTTTCGTTTAGGTAACAACATATTCAAAACCTTGATAACTTCCTTTTGTTTATACATTTTCTCAGTAACTAAACAAAGCATAATAAAATTCACTTTGTGTGACATGTTCACGAAGTGTGTCCCTTCGATCTTTTATTTCTTGCTTCCTGTGGTTTTGATAATGTGGTGTTTAGTCCTGCATGTTTAAATAGGAGTTTCCTGGTCAATGGGAAAAACATTAATTAGCTAAAGTTTCAGGGTGAGAAAACTGACATTGAGTTTGGTATGTGGTATAGGATGATACTCCAACTTGCTTCATTGTTCCTGTCAAATGTGGGGGTCTCTGATTATTAATATTTATTTATTTGTAATTAACAAAGCTGCTGCCCATGTGAAGGATTTGTCATTAATTTTCCATATGCTGTTTTTTATATTGATTATTTGCGATCTGTGTCTTGTTTGATTATTCATTTATTTACTAGGATGGAGCGAAGAAGTTCCATCATTTCTGCCAAAAGGGATGCTCCCATGTCCGTTGTGGTGTCAATGGGTAGGAATACAAGGATGCTCCCATGTTCATGTCTGTCTGATCTTGCTTCATGGTTTTCAGTACGTGATAGTTGCACTATTAATTGACTTGATCCACTCGTATTTCACAAAAGTTGGTTTTGAGATAATCAGTGCATTTCAGGAAAATTCATGTTTCTAAAGATTGAGTAGGTAATTTTATGATTCTAAGTTCTCAATGATGATTTGGTGTGTTGAGGGTCACGCAACCACTTCCCTCTCAATGATTCCTTTATTGAGCAGGAATTGTGAATGTCATTTTGAGATCTGAATTGTTGACTGATATATTGTTTGTGTGATTCAGCAACACAAGATTGTTGATGGTCCATCCATGATGGATTAGAGTGGTGAAAGAGCTGCGTCTTTAAACTTGGCATTGCTGGAGCTGCCAAGATATTCGGTGAGATTTGATATATTGTAATATTTAAGTATCAATGTACTGTCATCCTTTCAACATGACTCATTTTTATTAATTCACACAATATTCCAAATATCATGAGAAAATTTTTTCCTAATAATTTTGTTGTCATAGGGCTAAATCATTGAACTACCAATTCTCTGTAATATGTCTCAGTCAAGGGTCTGGTTATGAAACACTGTAAAAATGTTTTGTAAGTTATGGTTTACGTATAATGGGGGTTCAACCGTTATGCAAAAATAGCTTTACAAATAAAATTTTTTTTTTTTCGAAATTTAGCTTTACAAATAAAAGGTTGCATAATGGGAAGTTTCAGTTTTGCTAATTCTAAACAGTGAATTTAATTATTGTTGTGTTGATATGACTACGTTCCTGAATTATTTAAAACTACTATATGTTTTTTGTTTCTTTGACTGCATTATGTATATAACACTGTTGAACTATTAACTTGTGGGGTGAGGTTAAGGGTCTGGTTTTGAAGCATTTCACAAGTTGGTTTCTAAGTTGAAGTTTTTGTTAATTGGGTTTCGTGTTATGTACAAATACAAATAGTTATATAAATATATGGTCTATGTAACAATGAGTTTTAGTGTTTGCTGAATCAAAACAGTGGGTGGGTACTTCTTCTGTTGAGTAACTTGAGTTGGAGTTGTTTCATCAGTTCTTTTGACTGCATGCTATTTCAGTTCTATGATCTTCTACAAGTTATTTTCTTTTTGCTTTTTCATGTTCCAATATTAATACGTCTTTGTTCAAAGTTCTTCCTTACTCCTTATTCAGCATATGTACCTTGTAAGCTAGGGACCAAGACAATATAAATTTGTTTGGCTGGTAGCACAACGCTAATGGAAAGTTATCGTTCACAAAAAATCAGGAGTTATAACCAAATTTCAACATTCAATTTGCTTATATAAGCCCACATGTTCAGAATGCAGCACTACTAGAGAGAGAATAAGTTCCTTATTGATAAGTGCTTAAATGTTGCACATTTCAGCACCTAAGTTAGGGTATTTTAGTCCTTGCATCTATCTTACCTTCATGTTTTAGTCCTAATTTATGTTTATGTGTATTTCAGGGCAATAAAGTTCAAACGGGTTTACATCGGTCCATTACCGCAATTTTTGGAGTCAAGCAAAGACAGTCGGAAAAAGCTTAGAAAATGGCAAAAAGAGGCCGTAGCCGAATGTTCGTATAGTGCGCTTATCCTTCAAAAACGGTCAATTATACCTTTTTTCGGGCCTTTGATGATGTTCCCAATGATCAAGAAGTAAACCGATTAGGCCGGGGCCAAAATGGAGTTAAACATGGCTTAAAAGAGATTTCTAGTGGGGGATCGATCCCCCACTGTTGGCAGAAAGATGCAAAAATATACCCTTTGGGGATCGATCATTCACAGAACTAAAAATGCCCTTGGGGAATCGATTCCCAAGTTTGGGGGATCGATCTCCAAGCCCCTGGCAACATTGCGGGATTTATTGTTTACTTGGTTACGGGATTTTCTTATTTGGGTTGATTTTGTAATTTATTGGGCTCTGATAGGGTTTGTACTTAAGGGAAAGAAGAACCCATTAGTTGGGAGTTAGTTTTTATTATTTTATTTTTACTTTTTATTTTTCTTTAAGATATATCGTTCTCTCTAGAAAAAGCGAAAGAAAAAAAAAAGTTATGGTTTTGAGAAATATTCAAGGAAGAAGAAGAAGGAGCCAAAGATGGGGATTGGGCTTGTTGATACTATGATCATCTCTTCCATGAGTTAGTTCTTCACTCAGGGCTCATCAAGCCCTAAGTTCATGTAACATAAATATTTCTATTTCTTTTCTTGGGGAATTAATATGTTTTAATTAAATGTATGGTTTTGTGATTTCTTTATATATACATGCTTAATTTGACAAATTAAGGCTTGTATTGATAAATTCTTTCATTGAAATCTCTAGTTGATTGTATCTCTATGTATGATTAATAAGGAATTTTATTCTTCATTAGATGATTGAAAATTAATTCTTCCATTGATTCTATATGTAAATTGCATGTCTATGTGATTGATTTAGAATTATACTCTACACTAGATACTTCTTGTAGTTGTGTTTAGTAACGGCCATGACATAGTACTTATGTGATACAATTGTTAATTAATCTGATAGATAAAGGCTTAATCTTGATGAGTTGTTTTACAAATTCGCTTACTTGTTATTAGTTAATTGTAGTTAAGTAAGCAACCAGTGCTTGATTATGTTAAACCATGCTTCTAATTACAATTAGTATTATTCGCTTGATTGATGCGTGCTATTATTGGATATATTTGTGAATGTGTATGGTGGGTTATGACGTAGTCTTGAATGGGTTCTATACTTTAGTTCAATTGTCATTAAGTAGACAACTCATTCTTGATGTTGATAATCTATACTTACAATTGTGATTTGTGATGATAATATGGCTACATCTATAATTATACTAATGATTTCCCCATTAATTGAAAGCAAATGGTTAATTACATGAGCTTAGTGGTGAATCCTAACCCTAAGACTCTCTTCCTATCTATTTAATTCTTAGTTTAATTTACTTACATTGTTATTTCTATTTCCATGCTTTCAATTGAATTATAGTTTAATCACTTCATCAAAAATCTCTCTCTCTCTCTCGTGCAATCTCATTAGCACTAAAATCAAGT